GCTCTTCTGCTCCTTCAAGTTGGGCAACGCGTTGCGATGTTCCCAGTGTTTTATTAAAATACAAACACAAACACAAACAACGATAACAACAACAACAACAAGTCCAGCAATAACAATAACAACAACTGGCGGCCTATGTCAGCCCAGATTGAATAATGGCAGCATTGAACACTGTGCAGGTGCCGAGAGCTGCGGGCTGCTAGATAAATTAAAAAAAACTCAACGCATTAAATTAGAGCAACAATAACAATAACAGCATCAGCAATAAAACCAACAACAGCGGCTGCCAAGGTAACTTTTCTGTTATTATTTTTCAATTTCTTCTTCTAAAGTTTGATGTAATTTTTCAAGTGTGTGTGTGTGTGTGTGTATCTGTGAAAGTAGACAAGTGTGCGTGTGTTGTGCTCAGGTTGTGCATTGCTAAACAATTTTTGATTAGGTTTTGAATAGAATTTCCGCTTAGTCTCGCCACACACAAAAGGCCATCAGCCTTTTATCTTGGCCTGCATGCAGAGTTATCACAATATTTAAGAATGTTTGTATGGCTCGACTACAGAGTGACAATCTTAACTTAAACTAATAGCTGAAAGTTGGCAAGCAATTGAAAATATCATTTATTGACATTTTCCCGAACAAGCTAAAAATAAATATCAAACTGAAAATTGTTTTCTGGTTTCTTGGCAGCCATGTATTAATTTTATCTAGTTAACCTACGTAACTTTTTATAACTCAAATGTTTAATTTTTTATTTATTTTGTAATCTCAGATGAAAATTGTACACATTGTGTATTTCTCTTTGGGTTACTTTTTAATTATTTTCATTAGTAATATTCAAATTAAACTAAAATAAATCTCATCTAAATACACAAATTGAGCTTCAGCTTTTGGTCTATGATCATATTTCAAGCCAGTAAAATAAGTTAAAATAAAGTCTGTGTTTTTAAGCAAATCTAAATAAGTTAATAAGAAAAGTGACTTATTTTTTGAAGGAGTTTGAATTTCAAGCAAGATATCAGCCCAATTCAATTATAATTGTATTCACTTGAATATATCGACATTAGAGAGACGATTCGCATTAACTTCACTTCTTGCTTCGCCTTTGAAATGGCAATTTATCAAGTTAATCATTAATCAACCCAATCAAAACCGCTTCAGGGCAATTTATAGTTGCACATGTGTATTTACTATATCAATCCGACTTATATTGTATTTTTATACATATTCATGTAAATATGTATATATTTATATATATTGGTATGTTGAATAGCTGTGAGTGGCCACTTAATACCACGAAAGTTTTACAAAAATTTTAATTGAATGGCAACGGAGGGAAAAAGTTTGTGACGCCACTAAAATTGATTACACACATGCAACATTCAAAAGCTGGCAAGCAGCTGCCAGAATATTGCAGCATGCAGCATTCAGTTTGTAGCACTTGCACATATTGAAATATTGAGAGCTGGTTCAAGCAGGCCACAACACTCGCGTCAAATGCATGCGTTAAGCCTGCATTCATCCTGCCGTTAGACTTGCACCAGCTGCTGCATCTGCTGCTGTCGCTTTGCCAGCTTGTTGCAATTTATTCTAATCGCTTGTCAGGCATTGACTGCAATATGCAAAGAATTGGAAAATCTCTAACTAGGAGACACTCTGTAAACACCTTAATCGTAGCTAATAATAAACAGAAATATCTGTGTTTATATGCTAAAAGACTGTGAAGGATCTCAAGTAATATGAAAAAAGTGAATATGCTTGATTGACGTATGCTTTTATATTGCATACATTATATTAAATTAGATGAAAGTTGCTGATTCGAATTTACCATCAAAATACGAACAAATAAAGGGTTTCGGGTTTTGATATTTAGTATTATTTAAATTCCGCCAGTTTCAGCTATCTAGCTCTGAAAGTTATCTCCATCTCTCATATTGCACATGGTCACAACTCACTTTTTTTTTGCTAGTTATAGGGTATATAAGAGAAGAGAAAAATAGGAAACAGTAGGCAACATTCGCTGGGGCACCGATGCGTGTAACGAGGAAGCCACGTGAAGTCAACGGTAAACCAGAGCCGAGTTTAGGCCAAAGGTTGTGTGTGTGTGTGTGTGTGTGTTTGTGTGTGGTGTTGCCAATTGAGTGGCAGCAATCAATCTGCTAGGTGCCTCGTAAAGTGTGTCAAAAGCACGACTATGCCATAACCAGCTGCCAAACAGCAGCAAACAAAGTAACCGACACGATTCCAATACACTACATTCTTCATCCTCTGAGCCCGTAGCCCACCCCTCGTCTGACTGACTGATTGACTGACTGACTGCTTGACTTGCTTGTTGTGCCGCTTATAGCCTTTAATTGACGTCAATCGCATTGGCCTGCACTCATTCCATCTCAGTCCCACTTTCGCTCCTCGCCTGATGGCTGGAAAAATCACAGCTCGTTAGTGAAGTTTTGATGTTGCCGTCCATTGAATTGAAATTGTTTGACAATCATTCAGTCTTTCGCCTCTATGCTGCATGCTGAAAATACATATCTCAAGTCAGGATGCTTACCCAAATTGTGCAATTATTAAATGACAAAATTGTGCCGAGAACGGACCCTCTTCAATTGTTGCCAAGAACCGCAAATCAGTTTTTAGCAGCCAACTCTACATGACAGCTACACACTCAGCCATAAACACACGCAGGCCAACCAGACTCACCCTTAACTTCATCTCCTTTTAAAATGACACCCTGTTTGTGTGTGGTTTGTGTGTGTGTATGTGTGTGTGTGTGTGGTTTATGTGTGTGTGTGGTTTATGTGTGTGTGTGCTTCTTAATGATTATTTGGCGTCATATTTGATTGACGCGTGTTATACGCTCGTTATGTATGTGAATGTCTTTTCACCTCATACTTCCTTGTATCTCTTATTGTGTGGCTGTGAGTGTGAGTCCGTATGTGTGTATGTGTGTGTGTGTGTGTGTGTGTGTGTGTGTGTGTTAATGGCCGCAACAACCACAAGGCACTTATCAATTTTTCGCCTCAACCAAATGACACTCGTGGGCGTGTGCCTTAATACATCTGACGCTTATCAAGAATATTCCGTGATAAGTGTGAATGCAGTTAAATTGATTTGATTCCATCGTATATACTTATATAATTGCGATATGTATCTATACATATGTATGTATGCCTTTGGGGTTAATTTGATATGACGCAATAGTCTTAATGTGCATTAAGCTAATTCTAGAAAATAAGCTCAATTTGTTCGAAGGAAAATGGTATTGTAAATGACAACTTTGATTATATTATATGATCTTTGAATGTATATTAATTGTATTTAATGACTAGTTAATTAATATACATTTATTGCAAATATTGAATGTGAATTTGTTGTTTGCATGTTTACATTTTTAGAGTTAAAAGCAGAAAGTTAATAATTATGCCAACACAATGTATTGTACGACCTGGTTATCTTTGGAAGTACCAAATCTGGCTAGTGCTTGAACTCTAAAAAGTTATTGGATACAATCACAGTTGCTGTTTATTGAATTGCATAATAATGAATGAATCTACAGATTTCTCATGCTAATCGATGGCTCTCAAGTCCTGTGAATCAGTTTAATATCACATAGGACTTAGTCAGTGAGAGACTTGATGCACTTTGGGCAAATTGTTTGCGTTCAACGCCTGATCAACTTGGGTGTAAGTGTGTGTACATGTACATGTTGCATCTATACGTGTATGCTTGTAGATAAACTATGTAGAGTCCTTGAAAAATATTCAAACCATACAAGCAGAATACCAGAGGCTAAAAAGTTAACAGTTGACATAGTTTAGAGAGCTGCTTGGCCGGATGAAGGGGCTAGTGACGGGGCTGTGCCTCTAGTAGGTTCAACAGACAAACGCAGAGGCCCGTTGAATGTGGAATGAGTGAATGAACGAATGAATGAATGAATGAATGAATGTCTTAATAGCGTGTCAGTTGGGGGCTGACTCTAGCTCATTGTTGTTGTTACTGTTACTCTTGCGGTAGTTGCTGGCTGAAAATTGGTGTCAAACTAAATGAATTTAATTGCCGCTGGATATGAAAGTAATTATTTTGCAGTACATGGAGACGGTGACAGGGGAGGTAGTCGTTGTGAAAGGGGCAGCTAAAACGCATCGAGGCCAAAAGCGCTTGTCTCACGCCAGCTCTCTTCTCTCTCTCTCTCTCTCTCTCTCTCTCTCTCTCTCTCTCTTTCTCTCTTTCACTCCTTATCTGGTTGCTTGCATGTGTGACTATTGCCATCGATGCACTTGCACTTAACAGAAAACGGGCGTATTCTAGCAAATCGGCACACATTCGCCCCCAAGGCATACACATTCGCACACACACACGCACACACACACGCACACACACACGCACACACACACGCACACACACACACACACACACATCTACACACTGTCATTCAAGTCCACTTTCACTGCTGCTAGAAAAACTGCCCCACGGCTATTTTTGAGTTTTTTTTTTTTTAATTTATTCTCTTTCACTCGCGTTGCGTCCGTTGTCCTTGCTGCTGATGGTATTGGTAAGTGTATGTGTGTGTGTGTTAGCTACAGTGCAGTGTGACTTATTTACTTGCCTGGCCCGATGTTGTTGTCTAGATCAAGTTTCTTTTCTTCATCTTCTGTTTGCAAGCTCACAGGTCATGTACCACTTTCGATTTCACTAAAATTTCGAATCCAAATTTGTTACTGCCAATTAAATTAGAATATCCGAACCAACCAAAGAGAGAAAAAAGTTGCTTTGAAGAAGTCGTTTAACTGTATCAATCAAATTGTCATTACTTAAATTAATAGAAATAAATCTATTTTTGCAGGAAACATTTTATATTTATTGTTTACTTTATAGTTTATAATATAATAAATTATAATTAGCAGCACTCATAAAACCAACTTGTCTTCTTTTTTCGTGTGCATTCAAATATTTCTCATGTCACATCTTTGTAGCAAATTGATATATTTAAACCAATTTAACAGCATTTAAGAAGGAATCCTATAGCAATAGTCACCATTCGCTGCAAATGGAACGCAGACGCATATTCCGGCACCTACGGGGGGTGCGGCCTCTGCTGGGTCGCAATCTGACGGTGCTGGTATTTGATGCCAGCCGGTAGCAGGATCCAACATCCAAACAAAACCTGGTGCAGGAGCCACTCCTGGATGAGGGAATGGACTGTAAAACCCGGGAAAGGGACCATAACCGTGACCATGACCATGACCGTGACCGTGACCGTGACCGGGACGAGGGCGGGGACGGTAGGGAGGGTGGTGATGGTGATGATCATGGTCCTTGTCTTTGTCCTTGTCCTTGTCCTTGTCCTTGTCTTTGTCCTTGTCCTTGACCACCACAACGCAGTTCACAACGGGACGATTCCTGTCCCTCCTGCCTTTCTGATTATCCGAACCTCCGTTGTTGTTGCTATTGTCATTATTATTCTCCTCAAGATTTTCAAGAAATTCTTGTACGTCGAAATCGTTTGATCGTTCCCTACGTTTTTTGTCATCGGCCGACACTACGCACAAGGGATAATTATTATGGTTGGAGCCTTGCCCGTTGCCACTTATGAACAATGAGGGAATGAGGTCGCTCAGCGAGCTGCGCAGCACACGCGATTCCGACACATGCGACTCGCCGTTGGTTAGCTTGGCCAGCTCATTGTACTGCTCGGGTGTCACCGAATGAACGCGCACCAGCTTCGCTCCTCCTAAAAATATGATCAGCTATGAGGATCATCATCATCCAATCACAGTTATCTTTGACTTACCTCCATTGGCCGCGACAGCCGAGAGCACAATCACGGCGACAATTTGTAAGATCTTCATTTGAGTCTTGCGTGTTCAGCAACAGCCGATTGCTGAGCTAGAATGATCCACGACTGCCAAGTTAGCCTGTTTATAAAGATTTTCGGGCTGCTGCTGAACATTTTGATGACATTATCATTCAAATCCGCACCGAGCCACGCATCCAATCAAAAATAATAGGACATTAAAGTCACATTTTAAATTTATTCGAGCTTGATATGTACATAACTTACGGGCTTGACACAGTTCGGTTTAAGAATTCAATCAGTGAAGAAAAGGCAAGCCCTTAATTGAGCATGCAAAAAACCCGATTATTGTTATTTATTTATGGCTTGAGCTTGAGGTTTAATGGCTACCAGCGAAATGCGTTCCTATTTGTAAGAGGAGCGAGTCCAAATTGAGTTTATTTTATCAAATCAGTTCTGAAAGTCAGAAAGCCTTTCAGATTTCATGATAATAAACGTATAATAATACAAAAAATAACTGTTATTTTTGGATCGTCAACGATTACATTCTGCAGACAAACTGTATTCACCTAAATTCCACAGTTACTTTATAAAACCGACCGATTTATAATAAGAGGTACACTATATAGTAGTCCGATGTTCTTAGTTTTTTTTTTGCCATACGTTAGAAATATAATAACTTGCATATTGGGTAAGTTTGATTCGAATATCTTGGTAAATAGAAAGGGGTGAATATAAAAACTCATCTTTCGATCTATCGATCCTATGGCAACTGTGTGATTTATGTCAACTTTCATTAAGGTAGCTTTGTATATGGATGACTAGTGTGCATAGAAATAATCCAACGATCATGGTTATATCGCGGTTATGTTTAATCCCGGAAATTTAATATTGCAAGGGTATAATGATCGTGCTCTAGTATTCAAAACACTATTTGTCAATAATAATATAATATTGTAATTTTTTTTACGATTTTATTGTTATATAGTATTATAGGTACGATTTACCTTATATTGATAATATATTATTAAAGCAATAATCTTTGATAAGTTTTTGCTTACCTTAAACCCATATTTAAGATAACATTTCTCATTAAAGTCAAACAACATATTATATCTTGTACTTTTTTATAATTATTATTTTATATTTACATTAGCCGTAATAAACATGATCATGACTTAAATTTAATCTAGTAGTCTGCTTCTTCGTACTCATCTTCATCTTCGTCTTCATCATCATTATCTTCCTCATTTTCTTCATAGTATGGTTGTGGATAGTATAACTGCTGGCCATAATGCTGTTGTGGATAGTATAACTGCTGGCCATATTGCGGTTGTGGATAGTACAACTGCTGGCCATATTGCGGTTGTGGATAGTATAACGGCTGGCCGAATTGGGATGGTAGACCATAGGGACTATAGGCGCCAAAAGAACTGCCATAACCACCTCCACTAAGTGGTGTAAATGGTGAGCCATATTGGCGCAAGGTGGGACCAACGGCAGAGGTTTTCTGCTTGAACTCTGCATTATTCCCGATAAGGGTGAACAAGATCACTGGTGAGGTTGTTGTCATCTCTAGCTCCTCCTGCGCTACAGGAACATCGACCTCGGCAGCCGCTTGAGTTGCTGGCTGGATTTCCTGCTGTGGCACCGTTTGCTCGATTGGTGTGTTTGTTTCAGGATCCCAATAGATAGCCAAGTAGGGAGTGGTCGAACTGATCGGATCTTGTTCAAGACCCGGCTTTACCACCACAACGCAATTGATAACAGGGTCCTCCCCATTGGCAGCATCATCGGAGATGTTGCGCTTCATCACACATAAGGGCTGGTCTTCAGTGTCGATTGTGGGCACCGAACGACTGGTTGTGGTTAGGCCCATAATGCGCAGAAGCGAATGCCATCCAGAGTCCAGAGAGTTCCTAACCGAACTGAATCCGGCACTGGTTAAGCGAGCCTCAGAGATGGCATTCTTGCCATCGGTGAGTTTGAGCAGACGTTCATACTCCTCCTCACTGATGGGATAGACACGCACTAGCTGCTCCACTTTGAGCTGATCGGCTGCTTCCTTTTCCATAGGTGGCGCTGCAAATGAGACATTGCGTTTAGGCTCGAGCTCAAGTTTGGCTCACAAGCAAGTACACACCCGCCTTGGCACAGCTGAGGCTGCCCAAAACCAATAAAAGGCCAAAGCATCTAAGCAGAATCGATTGCATCGTGGGCACAGTTGTCGAAAACGTTTACAAAACTAAAGATACTAAGTTCTTGATGACCAGCGTTGGTCTTATTTATACATTCGTCTTCGTATACATTCTAGCTAAGACTAACGGTAAAAATATGTCAAATATTGCAAGTTGTTCATTTTTGGCGAAAGATGGCTAGAACGGCATTTTAAGGCATCCCATTTCAATAAATTAGTCCAATTGGCCCACATTCGGGGCCAAGTCAACAAACGCATTAAAAACCAAACATAGTTGGGAACTACGTGAATAGAACTGGTTCTTGAACCACAATACTCAAATAGCTTAACGATTTCTCAGCCGGCTAAATTGACTTAATTCGAATTAGCATAATGCAGACTGAGCTATTCTAACTATAACTGCCAGAATACGGAAATACTTAGATACTGTTCTAAGTATTGGATCACTTCGAATAATATCTATTTAAAAACTGCAAAAAGAAAGTATGAAAAGTAATTGATTAAAATAGAATTAATAAATAAATTGAAGCTGTCATTAAAATTTATGATACATGATTAATTTTTGATTACCACGTTATTTAACTGTCGTTCAGGGTATTAGGTATTCGTCTTATGACAACAGCCAGTTCATCTTGTGTTAAGGTGGTTTCGCGATTCATTCTTGTTGTAGATTTCATCCGTTTTGATTTAAATATTTCAACCTATTTTACTATTAGCATAATTCATTGAGGTTTGAAATAAAAGACACATTTTATTAATTTTTCTAACTCATAATTATATTACTCTTATTTCGTTTAAATCTCTTGCTGTGTGTTTGAGTGTGTGTTTATATGTGTGGTTTTTTTAGGTAGGCGTTTTTGTCTGGGTGTTTCTGTATATATGAATACCTATGCATAAATACTTAGTTACATAAACACATCCCTAATTGTATGCGATGCTGACTGCAAATGATCTCAAAACTATCTGTTCTTATAGTTAACACACATCAAGCTACACATTTGTTGAGAGTGCGTGGGTTTTTGGGTGTGTTGGTGTGTGTTTTTCGCTTATAAACCTGTATGCGTTTTATATTTATAAATATTAGTTATCGTCTGTTCGATTAATGCAAAATTATGTTTATTTACAAGTTGTTGCAATTACTTAAGTATCTAATTACACACACCAACACAGACACACATTTTCCTTCTTGTTTGTTGTATGCATTTTCTGTTTGTATTTTATTTTGTTTATTCAAATGTATTTCAATGTTTTTTATAAATATTTTTTTATCGAATTTTTTTTTATTTATTTAATATTTGTTGTTCATTTGGGTGTCGTCTTATTGTGTTATTTGGTTTTGTGCTGCCAATTTGGTTGCCATTGTGCCTCAGTTGTACAAATTAAACGGTTTTTTAACATTTCAATTGTGTTTAGTTTTTATCTGTTGTACATATTATATTTAAGTGTTAATTAAAACTACAGTCGCTACTAATGAATTTATTTACAATGCTCGCTTTTTTCTGCCATTCGCATTCGTTTTCCGTTAAGCACTTTAATAAACTGCATTTCAATATGCTCTGCCAAAACTAATTATTTCCGTTTATATCCGTTTATATCATACATATATATATATATATATATATGTATATATACGTCTGTATATGTATCTTGTATGTACATGCCATCATATCCATTTACCATTTCATTCCCATTACCCCATGTCTGTCCGTCGTTCGTTCGTATGAGTGCAACATTTTTTTAACACCCACCTCACTGATAGCCATTCCATCCCTGTCCCGCCACAAAAAAATCGCTCAAGCCTATAACTCGTACAGTTTTAGAGCTAGACTTACCAAATCATTAATGCCGACCGACCTCCACCCCAGCAAAAAGTTTCTTCGCCACCTGTTATCAGCTATAACAGGTGCTGCAGTGGTATTAGAATATTCCAAAGTTGTTTATTCCCGACTGCAACGTTCTCACTTATTTTTTTCACATTACCCTTGCAAGGCTTGTGTTAATTTAGTCACAAAATAAAAGTATATATGTGCAACAATTGGACTTACCAGATATATCGTACAGTAGTTAAAATTCTGAATAAATATGCAGTGTTTTTTTATTATTGTAATCGAACTGGTATATCATCTTCCAATGAGATAATTCATTTTGTTGTTTCCGAAAAGTGTAAATACGAATTGCAATTATTAAAAAAAAATTTAAATTTTGTGCAGCTTTGCAAATTCAGCTGAAGATCCAGTTGTCATAGCTGTCAAATCAGAGTTAATATTTGTGGCTATTATGTCTGCAAGGGTATTGAATTTTCGGTACACCGAATAAACTTATGTTCCCTTACCGCCTTTTCCTTTGTTGAGTGTGTAGTTTAAAAATTGTATTCGAAGACGTGATTGAAAAGAGCAAATTAAATGAGAATTTAATAGATACACACACTTTAAACCAACTGTGAATATGGTTAGTAGTTGTAGTGGAGACTAAGCAGTTAATTAGCATTTATGTACAGCAAATATTATGTATTTGATGCATATTAATTTCAATAGAGTACACAGTGGCTGTAATCGAATTGAGTGTGATACAGTTAGCTACAGAAGTATGCAAACGCTGATTGCTATAAAACGGTGGAAACTGCCAGTTGAAAGTGTAAATGTTTGACTGCATAGATTGATTGACTGATTGATAACAGTTGAACTTGATTATAAAGCATATTTATAGCCTAATAAGTCTTATTTCATAATGAAAATGTTTATTCTTTTTTATCGTTTGGCTATTGGCATGTGTGAAGTGTGTGAGGGACACAAATGCGCAAGTATGATCACAAAAATCTCACGATTGATAGATGGGGAAATTGAGCCCCTTATGAAGTGTAGGCTTTGCTTGGAAACATTTGAAGAACATTTATGAAATTTGTTTTAAAATTCGTCTGCTTATTTTTGTGATCCGCTGTGCATTTAGATTTCTACAGTTTGCTTAAGCATTAGCTAAGTACTATACGCATATATTGTTAATATATTCCCATATATGCACTATTTTTGGCTCTTTTTTTCGTAACCCTTTTTTATTATTTTTTATAAATATTAATTTTTATGGTTTATGTCAATATTGAGTTTTGTATGTTATGCTTGGCTAAACTTACTCAAAATCGCTTACAGCTAGAGAGTTTTATTCACTAAGTGCATTTTATCATAAATACGAAATCAATGCGATCCACTTGAATTTAACTAAGCTTCTTCAACACATTCATCAACGTTATGATCCTAATCAACGTCTTGATCTCAACTTCAATCATTCCTTCATCTTACGCACTGCACCCGATTGTTCGGATTGAGGCGACTGCTGCTGTTGCTGCTGCTGATGCTGATGCTGCTGCTGCGGGGGCGGGCACTCAATGTGGATGTAGTTGTTGCAGCTGTTGCTTCACTGGCTGCATACGACATTTGTCTTGTTGGCTGCAACAGCAGCGCTGCCATTGTTGAAGCCGGCGCAGCGGCACACACATACCAGTGCTGCAGGCAACAGGAAACGATGCTGAGGAGCATGCAACAAATGCCGCAGTAGAAACTGTTGCTGTTGCTGCTTGAGTTGTGCTGCATGGCCGCCGGGTGCTCACCTGCAAAAGAATAAGATACACAAAAAGAAAACAAAGCACAATTACCAATCGTTAGTTTGATTCTCAGTTCATTAGCTAATTGTTAATGCAGCTAAAGGTTAATGCAACAACAACACAACGCGGATGCAATTAAGCTCAGTCCTTTGTAAAGAGTTTTTGTCAACTGCTTGCATCCGATTGCCTTTGCAGGGGTAGGTTCAATCACCTGGAGCAAATCTGGGCTCTCTCCCTTTACATCAACATCGTCAACTAGCGCATCTGGGCCAGATAATATCGACATTCCTTCAGTTTGCATGTGCGCATTTCCTGTTTGCCAAACAAGCAGCCAACAAAGAGGCAAACATCAGCAAATAACAGCAACAACAACTTGTTATATATGCACACTTGAGCACACAAGCTGCTGCTGAGCTTTTCTTGTTGTTGTTGTTGGCTTTCAGCTCGAGCCGGACTCGATTATTGGCATTTTAGCTCACAAGAAATAATTTCCGCACTTCTTTTAAGGCGCTAACCAAAGGCAACGTCAAAACAAGCACTTGCGTCTATACTGTCCAACCAGGAGATACCCTTTTCATGGCCTCAACAAAGATTTGTTTACATTTTTACATTTGAATATTAACTAAGAACAAATATGCACAAGCGAACAAGAAACAAACACAAACTTTTAAATAACAGCTGTGGTTGCTGCCTGGAAACCACATCGAGCCTGGAGAATTTTTCGAAAAAGTTAATTATGCCATAATCTGTGTTTAAAATGAAGTAAATTATTCAACTATTTTGTAGTTTCTGAGATTGGACTTGTAGATAGACGGACATGGTAAGATTTGGAATATATATATACTTGAAAATATTCTCTTTTTTGTAAAAGGAACAAGGTATGCGAGAATCTACCCTGTCACACACACACACACATTGACTGCACTTGGCATTCAGCGCAGCTGAAATGCTCAAATTGCAATGCGCGCTGCTAACAGGCAACTTCCTGTCATAAACATGCAAAACTGTCAACCACACACACACACACACACACACACACACGCCTTACACACATACAGACATGAATGCAGTTGGCATACTCACCAATAATTACGTGCACATAGACACTGGAGGTTTTTGCCACAGTGGGCACACAGGTGTAGTTGCCGGTGTCGCCGGGCATGGCGCGCTTGATTTTTAATCTGTGGAGCAGGCAAAGAAAGAGCGTTAGTTGAAAGTGAATGGCAATAGCTGCAATGAAATGCACAAAGTAAGATAGACGCTGGATGGGAATGGGGTATAGGGAATGGCGGTCGCACAGACTACCATCAAATGAATGCCAAGAGTTATGTAGCAGCAACATTAAAAGCCTTGCTACTTTAGGAAATGCCTTATCCTGGAGTGGGCAGGACTCTCACTCAGCTAGTGGCATCTGCATTTTATAGCTGCTAGTGTCGTTAGTTAACGGCATAAATGCACAATGAGCACATGTGGATCCGACTCCCTTTCAAGCCAACTACTATAACTCCCCGACTCCGTAGCTGTGACTGTAAATGTAACTGTAACTGTAACTGTATCTGTGGCAGCAGTAACTAAGGCAAATTAAAAGTCACACTCGGCTAACTGTGAACAATTGTGAGTACTGCTGTCATTGTGCCGAGCAGACTTACAGACTGTAAAATACCCTTCTTGGATAATGCTTAATGCAAATCCATTAACTAATTACACTGGCAACTTTGTGGCATTTATTTCGAAAAGCAAAGTGCTCGAAATAAGATTAATTAAATTAGTTTTATTCGAAATCTGATTTCTTTAAAGTTTTTAAATTGTTGGGAAAAAGACTTGTAATTGTAATAAAGAAAAGATTAAATCAAAATAAAAAGATTACATTATTAAAAACTTGTTTAACAATAACATAATTCATTTTAGAATTCAGAACGAATAAATTAAAAATAAATGTAGCTAAAATAATTGAGTTCAGATATTTTAATATTCAAATTGTAAATTCCAGAACAATTAACAAACTGCTAGAAGGTATCTTAGTATATCTCATTGTCTGCTCCTCCGCATCCTTCCTTGGTTCCTCACATACCCAAAATATACCAGGTAGCCTGCGCAACTTAATTATGTGTGAGGCATTTGTGAATGCAAATAACTGAAATAGTCAATGTTTGCTGAGTGGCACATACCTCGAAGTTAGGCCATCCGACCAATCATCCTCGACGAGTATCCTTGCCATGGAGCTGTCGATTTCGTTCTCGTTCTTGCCACCTAGTATTTCGCTGCCTGTAAGTGCAGATGTATTTAAATATAATAGGAAGCTCGCGGAATGTGAATGGCAATTGCAAATTGAATTGTTTAAATTGCTTGATAGCGAATCGCTTCTTAAGGAATGTAGACAAGCTGAAAGAGACATTAAGCATACGCACCTTTGTACCAGAATATGTTGCCCAGCTCGTGTGGTCCCTGCATTATTTTGCAGGTTAGGTTAATGTCGCTACCCGTTTTCACCATCAGATCGCTGGGGCCGAAGATTTCCGCTTTGAGCTCTGCTTAACAACGGCAATGCGGATGTTAAAAGTAATACAGAGACATCGAGAGAGAGAGAGAGAGGCAGAGAGAAAACAAAGAAAAGGAGAAAGAAGCAGAGCAAAAAGTCACTTAAGTTGGCAACACATACAAACGTACGCGGACAAAGCGCTTTTTTTGTAATGATAATAATAATAATAATAATAATAATAATAATGTTAATGATAACGCAGCAGCTGAATGACTGCCTGCCTGCACAGATCTGCTCCCCTTATCACAGATTCCCCCCCTAGCTGGATGCCTACCTACTTTATTACACAGACGCGTGTCTCTATTATGCTGGCGATAAGCTTTTGTTATGCTTTATAAAAGCCAACAGAAACCGCATTCAACAACCACACACACATACGCACATACGCCTCCTTTATACCTGAACTTAAGGGCAAGCTTCATTCTTCTTTTTCTGGCTTGTGTCTCAGAGGGAATTGTCTAAAAATTTGCCGCTTTTCATTTGCAGCCAGCGAAATCAAAGTGTCAACGCAGTGCGAAGTGCCTTTTGTTATTACAGCCGCTGTCAATGATTTTCAATTGAAAACGCGCGAAAATTGGAAATGGAAAAGAAGACGGGATAGAATATTGCTGCGGACAGAGAGCCAAATGCGATTTTTTGGCTTATGACTAACGTCTAAGTGCGAACTTCCAGCTAACTGCTGACAGTTTATGTAATGTAATATGTCCCGTTGAGCGCTGCTCGCTGGAATACAACTTTTTGCTGCCTCATTGCCACTAATGCAAATGCTTAACAGCGCACAATGCTGAAAGTGGCACACACGAAACACGCTTCGTCGTGACGCAGCAACAACAACTGTAGTCGCAACTATTCGGGAGGTGATACTCTGTAACTAGCTCTAATAATAATAATAGTTGAATAATGGATATGGGTCTTTTGTGTGTCCTTAGACTCAATATCAAAATCATTTCTAACGAAATAATTTCAGGTATCCAAACAGCTTAATATTTGTATTTATTAATTGTTTTTGTGAACGTAAATATCAATTTTATACCTCTAGCTCTTACAACCAGAAATCATTATCGACCATCGATACTTAACATTTGCTATCTGGTATATATATATAATATGATATTGCAGAACTGCTATTTAATGGGTGCAGAGTATCAGAACAACAGCAGCAAATACATATGTTTGTATGCTCCACTTTCAACGGCAGCAGTCACAAAAGCTACATGGGCAACACAACACAACACAACACACACTCACACACACACAAACTATTGCAATTTTGCAACGTGGCTTTTGCGCCTTGCATCTTCGGCTCTGAAGAACCGCAAAGCCCAGCGTAAATAAATTGCTGCCGACGAAACTGCAACTGTAAGGGGAATACTGGAATGCTATGCTCGTCTGTACAGCTGGTACTTTTCACTGTTTCCCCATTGACGTGACGAAGCCTTGCCTTTGCTTTACTCCGGCTCTTCTCTCCCCTCCGGTTCAGTCTGCGCGCTTCGGCTGCTATTCAATCGTGCGGCAACTTGCAACCATTTGGCAAATGTGTAACGCAAAAAGCGTTGCATACTTTTGGGCCGTCGATTTGCATGAGCTCAAAATGCACCGAACATGTGTGTGCGGGTGTGCGGGTGTGCGAGTGTATATGTGAGTCATTAAATTCCAAGCGAGGGTTGCTTAAGGAATAACCACTATGTGCTCTATCCGATTTTTGATGAAACTTTTTGCGTTGGATTAAAGAAAAAACGAAATATTGCAAGACAAGGTCATTTCCTAACTTTGGAATATTTTATGACTTCTCTTGTAGTATCCGTATGCTCTTCTGGTAAAACCATAAAAACTGTAACTAACAAATTGGCTTAAATAAAGTAAAAGCTCACGCGCTGCCAATTTTCATTTTTCTCTGCTCGTAATGCGCTTTGATGTGGGGCTTACTTAAAAAGCACGTTGAATATTGAGCAAAAAAACAAAAAAAAAAAGAAAAAGAAAAACATTTGCTAAGGCGCTTTAAAGCAGTTACAGCTTGGTTTTCAATTTAAGTTGAAGGAACGGGGACGGTGGGGATTGGGGGGAACAACGAAGTGTAGCTGTGTGAAATGTTAATCTAAATTAAATGCCAGGCTCCATAATAATAGAGTGGCGCTGCCGAAAGTGGAAAAACAAACCCCAAATGGAATTCGAACATGCCAGGCGATTATCTGGCTGCTTTATGGACCCGCGCGACGATGAGTTGTTGTTGTAGCTGGTTCCGTTGCTGTTGTTGTTACCTGGTGGCAAAGCCAAGCCGTCTATGACTTGGCTACAACACGGCGCCCAAAGCGCGCAAACAAAGAAGCAAGCCAAAAATTATGGCCACACATGCAGCTGACAGAAAACACTCTCCCCTCTCCCCACACCCCATACCCTGTTCCCCTTCCAGCAGGTGTTAGCTCTGTTTGTGTTTGGCTGCGCGTGTGTGTGTGTATTTTGTGCTGTGCCCGCATGCGGCTGGTGCTTAGCTTTTTGCTTTGCTTCCGTTTTTAGCCGAGTTTACTTTTTTTCACCTCATGAAACTTGCATTGCCTCCTGTCAGCAGTGAGCTGCTGCTGCGAACTGCTACTGCTTTCGACTGGCCAGCAAATATATATATGGGTATATATATTTGTATATATATGCGAGCTATTTGCTCTGATTGTAATAGAAAAACCTATATATATAATTGGAGGCGTGCGCCACACCCAGCAGCGTGGCAAATTGGCTATTTAACAATAATTAGATTAACTGTTTGCGGCAATTGGCATCTGGGTTTCTGCCAGGGAACACCTGCATTATGGATCGCATGGCCAGCGTTTAGCACAAACTTTGCCGGCTAAGCGCAATTCCTCTTTTATGAGGCCCCAGCTGTTTGAAGTTTTCATTAGTTGATCCAGGCCGAGAAGCCGTTGTTGGTTCTGGCCACATGCCAAGGCACAGCCAGAAACAGTCGACGGGCCAAGTAAAAAACGATAACACCACCGACAGCTGGCAACAACTACTGTGAGCTGGGCAAACAGAACTTATGGTACACACACACAGACACACACACACACAGAACAGACGGCTGAGTCTTGTTTACACACAGTGTCGACAGTGGAACCACCGAATAACTTGAAATTTGTGCAGCCACTGACAAACAGACAGAGCGACAGACAAAGAGCCAGATAGATGGACAGACGGAGAGACAGACAGACAGAGAGAAGGGCTTGGGATAGCTGTAGTAAGGAGAAAAAGCAGGCATGAAAATGCATTTTCATTTTTCTTGATTTCGCGCATAAAATGCGCATAAGCCTATGCCCATAAACATAAACATTTGGAGCAATGAACTTTGCGCATGGCATACTTTTAGGGCGCCACAATGCAGCTTGTTATGCCCTATGCAGTTAACGTTAAATGGGTGTATAAAGCCAACATTTATATAGGTCAGCTGGATCAGGCAAAAAGTTCGACAGCCGCACGTTAGAGTCGTTAAAACTTTGCAAGCTACTTGGGATATGTTGTAGGAATTGTTTTAAGGATATCTTTAGTAGACTTGGCTAGTTTTTATGCGACATGTGTGTGTGTGTGCCAGACTATAACTTAGCTTGTCAATAGCTTCAGCATTGAAGAGTTTCTAATACAATAAGGTATCTAATATCTACTCTGGAGCTATGTTTGCAGACACATATTGCTTAAGCAGGGTATTCGTTAGTTGGGCTGTATATTTGCAGGAGTCCATCGCTGCGGCTGCTGCTGTTGTAAAAATTTATTGCGCCGCATATGTTGATGTATGTTTGCACACATGTACAACATACATATACAACATATACAAGTATTTATTGCCTCGTTCTCGTTTCGCAGCGCTAAGTGACATACAATTTAACAGTTTTTCAGCGCGAGCAAATTTAAAGCGAGCTCCTGACGCTCTTCTTAAATGAGACCCTTGGCTATCAATCTTGCTAGGGGGAGCTAAGGAACAACTTTAAACGCAAATTGCTTGGAATTAATTGTCAAATCAAATAAATAAATTCAATTTGTAAAAGTCAGTGTCAAGAGCAGCATCGTCTCAGTCGCCTCACGCACGCATACGCATACGCATACATACGCAACACACACAATTGATTGAAATATCCTTAAGAATTTGGCTGTGCTCATCAACGAGGACCCTAAACAATGGCCCAAGTGAAATGCCAAAACATCATCATCATCACCCAGTTGCTGATACGCTGATACACAGGCTAAGCTATAGTTATAGCCATGTTCACTGCCACCCTTCCGCCCCATTTTCAATTTCGTTCCCGTGCTTATTATTATTATTAATAATTCGAGAGACATTAATCATAAGCTCCACGAGCTGATAATATTCCACAGTAATTTATCATGAATTCGCACTGAAGTAGAATTCTATTTATTTTCTCCTCCCAATCGCATTTCTGTTTTGAGGCCTGCCACAAACAATGAAATAGTAAAACATTTTATTATTACAAGCGCGAGTTATGTTTGCTATTTGGTTTGAGCCCACGCTTAAGCAACAATATTTTCACAGCGGTAACTCGTGCTTTAGTATATAGCATAATGCACTTTGTTATGCTTGCTTTTTTCTTTGCTGAGCGAAATAAGTTTATAAGTTGGCAATTTGCCATGGAATTAGGTCAGCGGTTGTCCCCCCAAAAATCCCGAGCAGCAGTAACAATAATAAAGCTGCAAGACAATGTCACTCAGTGGCGTAACTCAGAGTGCCCAAGTGTATTTCAAACGATTTAATCTTTCAATATGCAAATAATTGCTAGCTTATTGTTGCATTATAAACCGCAATTTATAGACATATTCTGGCACAGAAATTGCAGCGAATAGCAATGGAATTATAAAGTGTTCAAAACTTTTATTTACTACCGTTTATCAATTATTATTGCTTATATATGAAAGTGGTTTATGTGTACTCAGTATATTCCACTTGACGAGCAAAGCACAATTATTATCAAGTACTATGATGGACTTAAGCAACAACATTCACTAATTCACCAACTGACAGAAATAAACTCATTATATGAGTGAGTATTAAACACTTTAATACAAGGTTATTCATAATAAGGTTATGTTCGAGTTTAATGGTCAAGACATTAAACCCTTATGGTAAATTATAAATAAAAGAAAAAAATGTTAAGTAGGTCATGTATAAAATGTTATTAGTGTATAATTACCGTGAAAAATTCTTGTTTTTAAATCCAAATTTGAAGTAAAAACATAACCGTAACAAAATGCAAATAGGGGTATTCTTCATGAAAATCGCGTTACATTTTACAGAGTTGGTGAGTCGAGAATATTACAAAGAGCATTCAATAAAGATTTTGAAACTTTAATGAGAAAAATATTTTTCTTTTGCATGCTTCCACGGTTTGTGTTTTTATCTTTTCTTTCAGGTGCGAGTTGTGCGAGCAAATTATATAGATTTCTATGATTTTTTCCATTGTTTTCCCTTCTTACAGAAGAAAAAAGTGGTATTTGAGTATGCTTCGGCACTACCTCAAATGAACAATATTGTGCAATAAGCCTCGCACAACTTGAATGTTCACTCGGCTGCTGCAAAGGCTCAGAAATTATTTGCGCTTGATTGCATACAATTTGCTGGCTGCTAATGTCAACAAAAGCAAAATGGGTAGGAGTAGAGAGAAGGGGACTCTTTGGCTTGTTGAGCGATGCTTTCTGGCGCCTGGGACAGAGCAATCTAGCAATCTACCCATTTGCCAACCAACTTCACAGACATCTTCTTCATTTTCTGTTGAGGTACGCATTTAAATTGCCAGCATTTTGCTTAAAATCCATGCGTCTCCACGCTCTCCTACCAGCTAGCACCTGACACGCTGTATAGTCTGTGTCTTGGCAAGCAGCGCTTCAGCAATTTATTTTTTCAGATATTTTTCTTCATTTTTTGTTGTATAGTTACGCTTGATTACTTTCACGCTGGTAAACAAATTTTTTAGCGGCATCAACAACACCTTTTTGAAAGGTCCTCGCCTCCATTCTTGTCGTCTGTTTTGACGCACACACAAAGTACATAATTTCATTTACAATTTGCCTTCTTTATCAGCAGGCAGCGTGGTAATTTTCCTTAAATTCCAAATTAAAATCTACCCAAGCGACTCACAGTCACCACCCTCCCCTGCCCACTTATCCACCTTATTTCTCCTGCCCTGAGCAGAGAGAGAGCAGTCAACTTCCTGCATAGTTTGACACCTTGTCGAGACTGGGTAATAAACTTGGTAATTTAAGCAATTGAAACGACTGCTATTGCATTAAAGTATTCAAAGTATTGCAGGATCAGTGGGGTCGAGTATTTTGACTGATGTTTATGGTGTTTCGGCCATCTTGGGACTGCTTCGATTTTTTTCTTTTTTCATGAGACGCTACTTGCTTTGTAATATAATTTCACTAACACACAAAAAATAGAGTGTGGCAAAAAACAACAAACAAATTTATGGAATTTTTAGTGCAAAATTTGTATTTGCATAAGCGCATAAAAAAGTCTGGCATAACATCAGATGTGTGCAACGACAATAGCGCCAACAGCAGTAGTCTATCTACAGTGGTATCTACTTTAGAATAAATTGTGTCTGAAGAATATTAATATGTTAATGCCCAAGCTTTTGAAGCAATCTGTGCAATATACAGAAAATTCATTTCCGATAGAGAATATGCTTTCTATCCAAATTGTATATTTGACAAAAAGTGTGTATCAATTTTGATTTTTGGCTTGTTAGGTAATCCCCATGTTCAATTGGGACAGTCAGGCGAAAGGAGGTTAAGTCTTACTTAAAGTTGCAGAAAGTGCCATCAAGAACTTTTACTACGATTACCGTTGAGAAAAAAGATATTTATAGAAATACCCAAATCCATATTATTTATATTTATATTTATATGATATTTTCCCTAGTTGAATGAACGTCCAACGAAATTAACTATTCGTTATCATGGTTCTTGGTATGCATTCATTTGAAATCATTTGGATATCACATGGCGCAATTGGCCAACAGGTCATCACTTTTGCACCACTGTGGCAACATTTGGGTTGCTGCTTTCCACTTGAGTGGCATGTCGAATATTTTATATGCACATTTCTTTTTGGGCATTCAAATGAGTATGAACATGAGCTAAGGAATGGTATTCGTGGAGTGTTGGGCTGGAACCGTTACTAGGGCTAGACCGCGTGGCTTATGCAGCTTGGAGTTTGGCAGTCATTTGCATTTCCACAAATGTAATATTTATGACCATTGTGTGTGCGCTTATGCAGCGCATGTCGGACTTGACGTTTGTTCTGTCAGTCTGTCAAGTAGTTGTCTTCTTCACCCATATGCGTGTTAACTTGTTTACATTGCGTGTGTATGAGTGTGTGTGTGTGTGTGTGTGTGTGTCTGGATGAACACTAAAACATTCATAGCATTCAAGCTGACCAAGGCATATTAATCTGACCAAAGTTGCTGACCATGTGGCCAGGTTCAGTTAAGTTTGCTAAAACAACATAGAAACACACACACACACATACACACACACACACACACGTTAGTGTGTGCCATAGTTGCGGAGATCAGAAATCAAATAAGCTCATTGAAGGCATTCTTCCGCACCAGAAACTTTTAGCAAAAATGCATTGCTAATGCAATATATACGATAAAAATACACTGAACAAAAAATGCATAAAAATTGTATAGCAGCACCACACCTCCCACACACTCCCTTGCAGACCAGATAAAAAGTTACATTACCTAGATAATCCACACGTTCAAATGGCTATAAATAATAGCTATATATAATAGTTAAGCTTAGGTCACAGTTGAGTTGTCAATTTTTTTCTTAAAGCTATAAAAACTTAACTATTGTTGCAAAACGTTCAGCACATTTTCCACCTGTCCTTTCAGGCGTTAACTAACACTAATTAAAGGTACTTGCGAGACAAAGAAAACTCTTAAATGTACACGGCAAAAGTAGACAACCCCATAGTTTACAGCATTATGGCCGCAATCTTGTTGCGAAATAACTACGAAAAGATGATGCAAGAGTGCCCGACTAGCAGGTATCCTGACTGACATTTATCTGTAGCAAAACACAAAACATAATAATTATTCACTTAATCCCTAAGTTCAAAATTGAAATTTAGGAAATGATTATCCGATTCGATCGCCCGACTTTTAAAAGTTTTAATGGACACAGGGTTCAGAATAAAACTTAACTTTAAAGTAAGTCAATTTTTGCATAATCGAATTTCCAAATTTATAATCACACGGTGCGATTCACTTGCCTGCAGTACACACACACCACACACACACACAAGGACACTAAACACTCTTACACCTACACACACACATACACTTGTGATGTGCATATTGTATGACTTCCTTAAGCTCATGAAAGCTGCATGCAGCAGGCAAACATTGGACTTAGCAGCAACTGTGTCTACTGTTCCCGTATGGATGCTGCTGCCATTTTTGAAAAGCACAAGCCTCCACTCATACATACACGCACGCACACTGCCTCATAAAAGTAATCACTTCAGTGGTTTTGTGACCAATTTTTAGCATTGCCACCCGCAACAGACCTTAAAATGTAAAATGTACAAGGCATTGGATTTTTGGCAAATGTTTTTAGCCAGTGAATTTGCCTACTGTTGGATGTGGTCGGGTCGTTTTGGCCCCCAGAGTTATGATAATTGCCAAAAGGGTAAAGTTCTTTATGCTGTGCATTGGCTATTAGCAGGCAGCTTCGTATTACGACTTGTCGATATTTGTTGGCTATGGCATTGACTGAGCCACCAAGTAAATTTCCAGGCAACAAATGTGCACATTTCGACATGGCCACTCATTTGTGTCCTGTGCTCTTTAATGCTATTCCTGGGACCGACTCGTGGCCATCAAGTGCCTTCAAACCCGTTCAGAAAATAGCTTGAATTTGGTTCTGGCTTGAGTTTAAAAGTTATGAGTTTCTTCTTAAAGTTATTTTTCAGGTCTCACAATAATTCAATGCCAATAAAATATTTTAATTTTGCTCAAATCCTTATTAACACCATATGTACGTCTTTTTTCCATTGAAATTTGTATATTTAAGTAACGAATGCCAATTGAATTCGACGGAAACATAAACATTTACACAAGACAAGGCTTCTCAGAAGTACTGCCCATTAATGTATAATTGTTTGAAGTTTTAAATTTGGAAGAATTCAAATTTCAATGTCAAAAACTTGAGCATTATTTTGTTTCAACACAAAATTCACCATCATCTTACACAAAAAAAAAAAATAAGAACAACAACCAAAATAGCATTCTCAGCATTTTCAATAGCTACTGAGAAACAGGATACCATAGACAGGTTTACAATAGCCAGGATTAATATTCATGACGATTCTCGTGAATTATACTCACCCACAACATTGAATGTGTATGAGAGCGACATTTTGGGCTCGGTGTTGATTTGGCACTCGTAGACGCCGGAGTCGCGTGGCTGCGGATATTTAATTTGCAGTGTCCAATTGGCCGAGTTATCTGGTCGTAATACCTGATGAACAAAACCAAACAACAACAAATATCAAATAGAATTGTAAACGCTCCAATTCATAACTGTCACTAAGAGCTCACCTGAAAACGCTGATCGGAGGTGTAGGTGGTGCCGCCAGCTGTCAGTATATGCAGATCACGTTTGCGTATCCACGAGACCTGCAAGGAGAAAGGGAGACAGAATGAGTGAGAGAGACATAAAAACGTTGCTCAGTTCGTTGGTTTTCTTGTGTCTGTAAAGTTGAAAAATTACAAATTCCGCACTTAAAAGTTTTGCCCAAGTGCGTTTAACGGCGCTTTGTGTGCCCGCTTGTTGTAAACAGTGTTGCCAGCGTTTCATGCCACACAGCCACTTGCCACACTGCCACTTGCCACTTGCAGCACAAACAAAGCGCAAAGTTTACTTTTTTGCTATTTTTTTCGGGTGTGGCAAAATGTTGATACTTCTTTCCTTCTACTCCTGGTGTGAGCGCTTGTTTGTTAATCTTTAGCATTTTGCTTTTCTTTTACGTATTTAATCAACAAAAAAAGAAAAAAGAAAAAAGAATCAAGAAAGTAAAAGTAAAAGTAATGGAGAGTGATTGTGTTGGAGATACCCTGTAGACAGCTCTAGCATTTATTTATACTTTTACTTCTGATAAAATCGATAGAAATTTTATCAAAACAATCTGCTCTTGCTCTGTATGCATTGTTAATAGAGTGTGGGATGCCTTCTTAAAATATTCTTGAGAATATTCACTTAAAATGTAATATATTTAAAAACCAAAGGTCGTACATTAATATTTATCAATTGTTGTTGGCTATATGAGCGGACTGAGCGAAGCGTATTTAATTCATGGCTCCATCTGCCAGTTACTTACATATTTGCTTATATTGATGTCATGGTACCTTTTTTTTTATTCATTTGTAAAGGGTAAAAGGTGGAAAAAGCAAAGTCAGTCAAATCCGCATATGAGTGTGAAAAGGGTCGCGTATACGCAACGTTGACAAAGCGCAGAAAGCAAAGAGTTGGAAGTGAAAGTAGCTCTTATCGATGCTCAAACCTACAATTTGATGGCGCCAGCTACATAAATAACTCAGACAATTGCAAAGTCTTTAAGCTGGCGACATTTCGCAGCCTGTCCTGCTCTGTTGTCGGTTCTCGAATTGTTTCTAATGCCTTTCGCTGAGATAGACCCAGGACCCATTGTTGTTGGCCTCTATTTGGGCAATTTTTATTAGAGCTTGAATTACATTTTCATTTGATTGCCTTGCCTTGCCTTGCCTTGCCTTGCCTTGCCTGGATCCTTGGGGTAACCATTAGCCCTGGTTTTGTATCTCTGTGCTGTGATTTCTTTTTGTGCGCCCTGCTCGACCTTTGTGCCCTTTTGGCACATTGTTTTCAATTTATTTAATGACCTTAGTTTTGTTCTTTCGCTCTCTCCCACTTATTATTGTTGTGATGCTCAATTTTAATTACGCTGCTGCTAGAAGTTTTGCAATGCCGAGAAATGTATATATATACAAATATATATGTATATACAAATCTCCGCTCAATTAAAGTTTCAATATTTGCGACTGCCAACGCAAATGTAAATATGTGGTCGCACCAGCTAAAAAACTTGCCCAGTTCTTCTTCAGTTGGCTCGCATTAATAAACATTATGGCTTGGACTTTAGGCATTTAGATAGAATTGGAGCATGTGCGAACAGCAAAACCATTGACAATAAAACTGGTCAAACTGGCGGAACTATCAAGTACGGGTAAATGGCACAAATAAACAATCATTTACTATCCTTTCATTTCGAATCCTTTGCTTTGCTTTTGCCAAATGGTCGACAACTATTGCCTGGCCAATGTCCTGATCCAGGCCGATTCTAATAAATTCGTTGGATTGACGCTAAAGTCAACACACAACAAAAGCTGGCCATGAAAATGGCACAAGCACCGAATGGAAACGGTCACGTAATACGTAAAAATAAAATTCATTTGCTTGTAAAAGTTTTATGCGGCAATTTTATGTTTTTCATCATAGACTCGACTCCAATCCTGCATTCCACGAAATTCCAAATAAGCCAATGCATTGCGAATTCCAATAAAACGCCTACGATTCAAGCAACGAGCGCAGCAACCCGAAAAGGTCAGCTCAAGCAAAGCTCAGCCAAACCCCCCAATGAACTTGAAACTAAATCATTTATCCGTGATTACTGTGCGAGGTCAGTGTTTTAATAGAGAAAGCAGCACGAAATTGAGACCTAATATTATAGACTGTACTACATTTTTATATCAACAAAAGAAATGGTATTTAACCAAATCAAAGCCAGAGAACTGAGCAGCAATTCAGGAAGGAGAATTCTTACTCCAGAATATAAACATATAAATATACATATTTCATATATAAAGTAAAAATATATAAATAAATATTATTGGATTAAAATGCTCAACTGAAAATATATAAATCTATACTAACTATAATGCAGATATTAAAATGAATAACGAATGGTTGAGCATATATATATATATAGAATTTTAAAATGTCGCAGAAAATGTTAAACAAGCGTTCTGCATCAAAGCATTAACATCTTTGGCACAATTGATTAATTTTTTATCAAGCAGACAGAAAACTATAAATAATGGCTTACTTAGATTAGTTAAGTCACGCAATGTGTTGTGCTCGAAGCAAGTAAATATTTAATTTAAGGCAAAATGGAAAAGTTTGCAAACTCGTCAGCAAAGGATTTTAGACACGCAATTTACATAGAAATGTGAGTATGTATTTTTGGAAATCAGTTAGTTCAAATCAGCGTTGCTTAGAGATTTGTCAAAGCTTTGCCACATGTTGCAGCCAGGCAAGCAGTGAGGCAGCAAGCAAGGCAAAAGCTACCACCACAACCAGATCTCGTGTTATTCCCCAGCGTGTCAAAAGGACAACAAGACAGACAGCATAGTGAGTGGAGGAGGGAGCGGAATGCAGGTGGTAAACTTTTATACTTGGGGAATGATTTTCGTAATGTCTTTAGGTTTAAATAAATACCGCAAGCATAGTTTTATATTATTTAACACTTTGTGGGCTGCCCGGCTTGAGCAAAAGTTTTGCTTGGCTGTTCCAGTTTTTTGGATGCGCTGCTTGTTTTTGTCATTTTATAGCACTGCCAAATGAACGAAGTTTCTGAGTGTGTACATGTCCGTGTGTGCGTGTGTGTGTGTGTGTTTGTGTTTGTGTGTTACTGTAACTGTGCTTGTGTATGTTGCAAACTTGGCGAAAATACATTAAAAACTTTGCTGACGCATTTTCTGCGTCTCTAACCAAGACGCCGACTTTAGACTTTGTTCTTAGGACACAACTCGAAGCTCCAAGGATAACTTGAGAGCAACCATTGTTGATGTTATTCCGTGTATGTGTGTTGCTATGGCAGACGGCACCCAACGCTCTTGTTTTGTCCGAGCCGGAAATGAAGTGAAAATTTCATTAAAATTACAGAAGCACTGAAAATTGAGCTCACTGCTTGGTTGCTAGCCTGCTACTTGTTTTCCCATATACAAATTGGCCTGCCCGAAAATCGAATGAACTTCATCTACAACTTAATGAAACGGTCATCAGCCGATTATTTAATTGCCTTCAAGTGCATTCCTTAAGTACACGCAACAGCTAGCTCTGATTGCAGTGCAATTATTAGACAAGTAAATAATGAATGCGCTTCGCGAATGAAGTGCTTAACTTTTCACTTTCTCCCACTTTCTATACTCTTCGCACAGTTTGTAAACGAAGTTGTTAACCGATTTTTGGGACAACGCGTCAGTAACAAGCATAGCGGTCATGGCATTAAAAAGGGTTCGCTGGCTAAACTTTGTTCTTTGATATACACATAGAAATTGCTTTTTTACAGTCCATTTTCCTTTTGTAGACTGACTGGTGTTGTTGTTACACGACCAAATTGCGGAGGATAGGTCTCATGTCGTTGATGTTGAGCGGAACGCGCTTATGAGAATGTTTTGTGTTGGCTTTGAGCCCGACGCAATAAATCAACAGCGCACGGACTGAAATCCTGTGAAGTCAAGTTGAACAAGCTGATTCAAGCAGCTTCCGGCGCCCCAAAAAGAAAAAAAATAAAACCGAAAAACAACAAGCGCGAGCAAAGGCTCACGTAGAAAATGGGGTAAAATCACAAGCAGCAGTTGGTATGGTAATGACACACAGACAAGCGATACTCCAACACCCACACACTCACTGGCAGAGGAGCCTAACGAACTAACAGCGCGGGAATAAATTACCCGAGAGCAGAAGCCGACAACTTTGGAGCGCATGATCGTCTCCATGCACTGCTGAGAGGGGTGCCAGGCAGCAGTTGGATGGGAGTGGTATAAAGTGGTTTGGAGGAAGTTACATGAGTTGAGGGGGTAATGGAAGCCAGGCGGCGACAAAGTTATTTGCCGTAACTGTTACACTTTCAATTTGAGTTTATGACCAGTAGCGGTGGGTGGCAGCGCGCGGTTCCAGTCTGTCAATTACAATTAATGTTTGTTTCCATTTCTTCTTTTTTGTGTGGACTCTTCCAAAAACTAACTGATTTACTGATTGGTGCTCATGAAGGTGGACAACTCGAAAGTAGAACGATGGCTTTTTGTTCCAATTTGTACCTGCAGTTTTTAGCAATTATAAAGTTTTCCCCTCTTTGGATGAAACTTGCCGGAGTATAAATGGATTAGTTTCCCAATGTAATGTCAAAAATGAAATCATTTATCACCTCATAGATTTGACATCATTTGAAGAAACTTGATCTGGGTAATGACGAAAATTGGCAGGCACGACACCCACCCAGAATACAGCAGCCTCTGAACTAGTCGTTAAGCATACTTGCCTTGAATGGAATACAGTAATCGAATTATATTTTTTTTTTTCAAGAGAAAAGTGTTAAAATTTTAGTAATTGAATACCACAATTTAATACAAAGCGAGATAGCGATAGAGGAAGATCGAGAGACGGAGCGTCCTCCTTAGATATAGTCTTATGGGTATCAAGAATTCCCAAACAGAACAAAATGGAGAGCGAGCGATTTGGTTCGGATGAAAAGACGGTTCCATACACTTCAGATTCCGCTACTGGTGGCAAGGACTCAGTGAAGCCGGATACCTTTTTGCAGTTGGATATTGATGAGCTTGTGTCAAATAGCAGCGCCGATGAGACTCCCCCCTCCATAATTGTAATCGAGACATGCATTAGCTCCAAGGAACCGACGGAGTCGCAGCCTGCAGCAATAAAGCAAGACGAGAGCCAACCAATCGAAAAGGCCGGCTGTTCCATTTCTTTGGGTCTCAAGCCCAATGTGCAGTTCCAGATTCTATCTCAAAATGTCGACAGCGTCGGTCACGTGTTGGCTAGCACCGAGGCAGCTCTGGCTGCGGCCAATATCTCTACTGCAATCTCAACTGGCAGCAATCAAACCATACCGAAGCTAAGTCGCTGCGAGGACAGCGGCACTCAGTGCAACAACCTGAACCTGGACTGCGTGGAAGCGAATTCCAGTGAGTCGTTGCCATCGATTGGCTCTCTCGTCTGTCGCATCTGCCACAATGCTGATAATCCTGAACAGTAAGTATACAAATATTTATGTATATATCTATAATTATATCTAGCGCATACACATGATAATAATCAATTGAGTTGTTGCGGCTATTCAAAATTTGAGCGACTACGAAATTCCCAGTAAAATTAAATGTTTTTATAGTCGTGCCCACTTTGCTGTACTTACAAAATTTTATCTAAAGATTTATATAAATTAAAATAACAAAAGTGGATTTCTGAGCTGATTAACAATCAAAAAAAAAAAAAAATCGTAAGATAAGGGAATTAAATTGTTGTCTATAGCAAATACCCGTTGTTGTTGCTGGGTATCTCAATTAACATTTAAATTTAAAAACGGATCAAAATTAATTGCATGACATTTTAATAAAATGAGCGTAATGGCATTATTATCTGTGTATCTTTGTATTTAAATATTAATTTAAATATAAACATATACATATTATATATAAAATGTATTCAAATGAAAAAGAGTCGACTGCATCTATTTATATAGATGTTAAAGAATCTCGTTGTTTGCTGCGGATGCTGGTTGAACTGTTTACTCATCTGTCCGCACATTTAATCCCCGCTTTTATTATTGTTGATTGTTGGCATCTCTCCTCTTGTTTCCCCCTCATGTTTGCAGACTGGTGTCGCCCTGTTTGTGCAAGGGCTCGCTGACATATGTGCACGTGCACTGCCTGGAGCGCTGGATTAGCACCTCGCGCTGCACGATCTGTGAGCTGTGCCAGTTTCATTATAACACGGAGCAAACGCTGCGGTAAGTGTGAATGTCTATGTGCATGAGTGTGTGTATGTGCATGAGTGTGTGGCAATCCTGGCCATGTACTCGACTTCCTGGCAATCCAAGTGGCAGCAGCTCAAAGAGCCAACCGTGTCACTTGACAGCCAGCAAGCTCATCATCATCATCATCTCGGCTGCTAACAGCCGTCAGGATATATACATTAGGCGTTAGGTGTTACGACTTTTAATCAGTGATCTCGGGCTAAGCACTCGCCTCACTAATTGCTACAAATCAAGCAACACTTTGCACTTTCTGCTTTGTAGCCAGCCAAACAGGTAATATAAGCAGCTTCAAAGAACAGTCAGTTGGAATTTAATAAATATTTTCTCACGAATGCGACCAGTATTTACTTATTCACCACCATTTAGTATTATAAAAAAATATAGATTTATAAAAATGATAAAATTTAGAGAAACTTATCCCGCATAAAATTGAATTCGTTTACGTCAAAGCTTGGAATTTTTATATGTGAGCATATTTGAGTGGCATCCTTTTTCCTAGGAAATTGGCTGCCTGACAAAATATGCAAACGATTTTTAAAAAACGACTATTTAAAGGAGTTAGCAGAAAGCAGAAGCAGTTTCCTTTTGTGTATATTAACCACTTTCGATATGGTGGCAGGGTATCGCTATGTTTGGCACTCCCCGATTAGAGACTACTTATTTGCTGCACTGCTGTTCCTTAGCTACACCTGCCTACAATCGCTGCGTATGTGGTACTCCAGGGCAATGAGCCGGCGCGCCCTGCAGGAGGATTGCCAGATGTTCTCGCTGCTGACTCTGGTGGCGTTTGGGATCATTGGCACCTTACTGGTGGGCATACAGTACTATGCTATGCACACTCAGTCCTGGGGCCTGAGCAAACTGTGGACCAAGTCCTGGATGTTGTTCTTCCTGTTTATGACGGTGGGTAGAAAGAATGCCAGTTTAGGTGATGTTTTTCTCTATGATACAACTCCACAGATTACTGTTTACTTTGCCAATGTCTATATGCTGATCAAGTCGCAGCTAACGCCCTGGTATCGGTAAGCCACGTTGCTTGAGCTCTTTATCATACTTTTAGATACATTTTAATTCGACAGCTGGTGGCAGTCGGCACGTGATATTAAGCTCATATTGGAAAATCGCCGACCCTTTCCGAATCCCAATCGCGTACAGCGGCTAACGATAGAAACGGCCTCGACCACAGCTTCCATGTTTACGCATCACGATCAGTTGGATGTGGAGAGGCTCCCATCCGTGCAGCCCCACTATCTGTCCCCTTCATCCAGCGCTGTCTCGCTGACCAGATCCGCGCCGCCCACAGCAGAGAAGCTGATGGAGACGGAAACAAAACTGCAGACTGTAAATGCCAACAACAGCACAGATGCAGCCAACGAATTGACTCTGCTGAGCAGCAGCTCAAATCCGAATCAGAATCCGTATTCCAATCCAAGTACCAGTCCCAAGTGTAACTATGATGCTGACGCAAGCGCTGAGTCCGACAAGAAGATGCAGCAGGAGACAGAGCCGGCGGAGAAGGGAGGCAATGCCAACAACAACTAAGTAGTCGGTAATACACAAGTGGACAGTTTTGTAATTAGAGCTCAAGGGCAAGGCTATCAGCTTCAATGTTTGCGTGCCATTTTGTTTAATGTACTTTCAATGCTTTTAATGAAGTCGTCGGCCAAACTTGTCTTAAGCGAGTCGAATTTCTCTACTTCCTTTTTTTTGTGCGACCCACTTACTGCTAGATTTAGCTGTGCACTGGGCTGCTTCCTCTCACTTCTTCTCTTTCTCTTGGCAGCGCACAACTTCCGCTTCCGGCATGAGCTGGTGCAAATTAAAGCTGATAGCGTAGCCTTATAGCGCGTAGTCCTCCTTAAGGACGAGCCTGCATGCGCATGTCAAACGAGCTGATGGCATAGCTAGTCACGTGATTGATGGCTCATAAATTAGTCATTTCGCTTAGCTACCTCACTTTCCTCTCCACACGGCAGCCGGTGTCGCCACCAAGACCTAACCTGGCTGTGTCCACATTTTTCGCATCGACTGCAGCCTCAGTAATCAAGCAGTAATTTGTGCCTAGTGCTGCGCATTTAATTTCAGCCACATCCACCATCATAAATTCCAGACTGCCCGAACTGCTGCTCAACATCACTGCCCATTTCGCCCACTTGTTCCGCCTGAAGCTGTGTTCCGCTGCGTGGGCTGATGTTGACATATTGGAAGTAGACCTTCTCCTCTCTGTTGAATGATGTTCAGCTAGCGCCATGTATATTTGGCAAAGGGTTAACAGCACGGCGACCTTCAATCAATTTTGTGCTGCTGTTGGCCAGCTCGCTGACTGGCTGGACATGCTTAGGCAATCACTGTGCGGACACCACGTCAGACCAAATGATTGAGCATCTTCTAGCCTAAATCGCTCCAAATCCTCTATGCACTATTTGCCCGTTTGTTTCTCTGAGCGTTGTTCTTTTGGACGGGGTTGAGGAGCTTGTCAACTAAACCCCAAATTGAAAGCAAAGTCAAGTAGCGCCCAGCACATCGCTTTTTGCAGCTTAAGGCCCAATTTGCCTTTTTTGTACGTTACTCACTCATAAGCTTAAATCTCTTAAGAATATTGTACTCAGTAATAAAAGATTTTTTTAGGCTGAGCTTTTTGTTTGCTTGTTCCCGTAATTAATTTTAATAGGCTTTGTAGTATCTAATGCGTTCTTAGCATGCATTCAAAAAATTAATTAAGAATAGTATTTTCTTTTATAAAACATTATTGATAAATAACCAACATCATCTGAGAAAACAAATCGCCACGATTCTTAGAAAATCGCCGTGAAGACTAGAAAGCTGTTCTTGTTTGTAGAAATAATTTTTAATTATAAATGACATGATAATTTACATTTGTCATTTGTAGTCCTCCTTTTCTCCAAGTATAGATATTAAGCTAGATAGCTTAAGACTACGTATAATCCATACACTTTTTATGCTTATACGTTTAAAGTTTTGTCGCTATGGTCAAAACTAAGGGAAGTCCATACACATACACTCATACTCGAATTTCTGGGCTAGTACAATACTTACATCCTTGTCACCCAATCGCTCCACGCGGCAGTGTAGGAAGCCCGTTTGGCCGAGAGTGACGGTCAAGTTGCGCGGCACATCAAAGTCAAAATAGGGCAGCATGTTTGAGGGTGAGATTGTGGTTGTAGTTGTTGTTGGTGGCGTTGGGGCTATCGCAGCGCTATATCCTACAAAAGAGAGAGAGAGAGAGAGACGTGAGAGTGTGAAATTGTTGGAGCGCATAAAAAAACTTGTGCCAAATGGAAATTTATTTTCATTTTCATTGTGCATACGTATTGTATGGGGAAAAGGCCTTTCAATTCCAGGCCACAATGTGGTACAGTCTCCCACATGTATATGTGTATTAGAGGGGAAAAGAATGGAAGGGAAAGAGTAGGGGGGCCAAAACACTCGCAAAAACTGAAAAGTAATAAAATTCTCATAAAAATTCAGCAGAAAAACACAAAAATCTTCAACAAACAATTATATCGCCCCTTTTTATTTTTAGCATTTGCTTTTTGCATTTTGTGTATATTGTTTGCGCTTCCATTTTGCTTTATGCTACAGTTTGCATATATACATATATATATATATATATATATGTATATATAACGCCGATACGCTGCTACCGATTGGAGCACTTTTGTGCAGAACTAAAGCTTACCCCCTTTCTGATTTTGCGAACATGTGGATTATTAACGATTCAGTGGAAATTCCGATTTATTTAGCTTCATTTCATGTTTGTTGCTCGCCAACTGTTTGCTCCGCCATATTGAGATGTGCGTGGTGTTGTGTGTATTTGTTGTGGCAGTGTATCGGCTTGTCGGTAAGTGCTTTGTACGTCGAATATATTTTCGTTTTTTTGGGCAGACATTTTGAGCTCAAGGCTAGGATTTTATGCGGCATTAACAAACAAAACCGCACAGCGAAAGCAATATGAAACGCGATTTAATTGAAAATTAATATGGTTGCCGTAGAGAGGTCGGGAGAGAAAAAAGAAAGAGAAGAATAGTAAAGCTTATATAGCAGGAAATCAAAAGCAAATACAGCTTGGCCCAAAATGGCCAGCAAATAGCTGAAAATGGCAAGCGGAAACTTCTCTCAGTTGGCTTCTGAACTATGTTTGTGCAGCGGCAAAACTTATTGGGCGAACACCCCCCAACAAAAGTCAACCGACAGAACACGTTAGATAAGCGCTGAGCCGGACCGAAAGGAATCTTGTTATACTTAGCAGAGAACTGCTAGAATAAGTTCATCAATACGAGCTCTGCCAGCCAGAGAGACAGCCGGATAGACGCAAAGAGTCTCAAACTTTTGCACATCAAAGCGTTTGTCGAAATCAGCGTGCAGAGCGCATGCAGCCAACTGGAATAGGAATAATTGAATGAGTCAACGACGACGATGTCGACGATGCCGACGATGCCGACGATGCCGACGATGATGACGGCAACGATGCAGGAAGCCAGTCAGTTTATCGAACTTTGAACTATATTGCAGGACAGGGAAGCTGGCAAGGCGGCGGCGGTGTGAATAAGAGTCAAATGTACAACGCACTCAAAAAAGTATGTTACAATTTATGTTTCTTTTTTTTTGGCCGTTGTCGCTCACTGCTCACTGCTCGCCCCAAGAGCTGCTGTTGCACATTTCCTTTTCCGCACGCGCCCAAAAAAAGACACACGCAACCAAATTGACAAGAAAAACTTTTTGGAAAACCACACACGCAAAAAAGTCAGCTGCAAAGCATACGCAAAACTTTTGCCACATGCGTAGAAGACGCAGAATGCAGCCCCTTTCTGGAAATTCAGTGACGAGGTCGGGCATAACAAATTTAACGATTTACTGGCGGAATCCGAGCACAAAGTTAAATTTAATGTGCGCAACATTTCTGTACGTGCTCCAGTTGCTCTGGCAATATGCAAAGTATCCAAATTGTAGATAATTCTAAAGACAACACAAAATGGAAAAGAGAAATCATATAAAAGAAAAGAAAGCTATTTCCAAATCCATTTCCATTTCCAGCGCTGCGTTGCGCTGCACAAGCGCTCAGCTGGGCATCGAGCCGAGAGAACTGAAAGCGCAAACTGAAACCGAATTTGCATATTTAATTTGGTGTTTGATATCTTATAGTTTATTTAGGCATATCTATGAAGAGGAGCCTGACTCCAGGGAGTGTAGTATCTATTTGTTGTGAATAGTGTTGCAAATGAAAACACTTTTGACACATTTTCAGCACACACAAATTAGCAGTTTGATTTATTGCGTACTGCGGAGCAGTAAAGCTGAACTTGGGGATACCCTGTTAAAGTCTGTTAGTAAACATCTAACAATTTTAGAGCATGCCGATAACAAATATCTATTTATCTCAGATCGAATCAATTTTGCGTAATGATCAAGGAAATGATTGTAAACAAAACGGACACCTTATGCAAAGTAACTGGCATACCACCAGAGCATTTGCATTTGCATAACAGGGTAGAAGGTAGGCGGACAAAGTTATGTTTAAGTAGACCTGGCTAAAATTCGCCATGTCAAAAACTGGGTGCCCAGTCCCGTCCCCGGCCCTGGACCCTCCCACAAGAGCCGGCTGGATGGAAACCAACGAAATTAGCTTTGGAATTTTGCACGTATGCGTGCGTGGAAATGCGTGGAAAACTCCTAGAATGGCAAGGATACGTGTCCTGTTCGCCGGAGCTATTGCAAAAGCTGAACTTAATTTATTGTTTATCAGCGGGCATAAAATTTATGACCAGAGCAGAGCATGAGTCCCAGCAAAATGTTTGTGCCTCTCTGCCTCTCTGTGTTGGGCACTAATTTTAAGTTTATGCATGGAAAATTTGCTGCGTGCTCATGTTGAGCAAATTAACGATGTGGCTGGCTGGAAAAACGTGGCACAAGTTGTCGCTTCTGTTGGTTTGGGCCACTTTGCTATCGATCAGCCACCACCACCCACAACGGACGCAACAAGAACAACAACAGCTGCTGTTGTCAGATTTCGGTTTGGCTTTGGCTTTGGCGTTGGCCTTAAGCGTGTTTAATCAAAAACATTGAACAGCAAGCGGCAATGCCAACAAATTGAAATGATGCATAGCCAATAAGAGTCGGCTGAGCTGCGGCTTTTCGACAAATTAGCAAATGTGCTGGAAAATTATAACGAAGTTTACACAACACATGCAAATTTATGAACGATTCAAGTGCGCTTATTATATTAGATCGAATGGAAAATGACGCCATCGAACTACTGGAATCTGGCATCTTTCAAATAGTTTCACGTCCCATTTCGGCTACTCTGATGCCCACATTAATTGAGCGTTAAACGCATTGCGCTCTGCTCTTGGATTATGCAAATCGAATACAAACATTTGTCCTGGCCAAACAAACCAAATGATTAGTGATACGCGCTTATGTGACAAGAGTAAACTACCCACAAATATCACGTATTGCTGCATGCAAACAAGCTACAACCAGCAGACTGAAGGCAGAGGCATCCAAGGAATCACGCAGGGGCGTAGTTGAAGAGGGCGCTTTTAATTTGTGTATCTATGCAGACGCTTTGAAAGCTTTTGTGCGTCCATCAATCAGTATCTATCTAAACATACTTAAAAATCAATCATACTTGCTCGAGGTTCACGAAACCCAACTCCCCCTTTTTACTATGCCACTGTGTCTGCCCAAGTAACTAGTGTATGCTCTGTAACTAGAAGCAAAATCTCAACTTTTAGTTATTCGCTCTTCAGCAGGAACTTGACTCGATATGTATCTATGTTTATGGCAATAGTTTGACTGACTGACGAAATTTATAGTTTAAATTAAAAATAAAGTGAGAAGCTGGGTAGCTATTATTAAATAAACAGGGTATCATTTAATCGAGCAGCTTATTTTGCAGCACTTCTGCTTGTTTTTGTTTGCTCGAGCGCATGTGAACTTCAAGTCTGTATGCCAAGCGAGGACCTGGCTAAGACGCCTTGGATATATCATGATCTCAGGCACTTAAGGTTAAGTTGCGCCTGACAACACATTGACGCTACAGCTGCACTCAATGCTGCAGCGCATCTTGACTTGCCACAAATTGTCTAGACTGTTGCAGACGCAGATAAACTCAGAGAGAGAGAGAGAGAGAGGGGCTAGGGATAAAGATGCTGCCACTGCACTCTTTTAAATTTGTTCAACTATCGATTATGTGGCTAAAGTGTTTCCGCTTTACCGTTCAAAGGTGGCTGATGTGTGGGTGATTGTGGCATGCAAATCGTTCAAGCTGAAGGCATGACTGCCACTGAGATTTGCATCAGACTTCTGTGGCAATCAATATTTGCAATACTTAATGTGTGACAAAACTAATTTACCGGATAATAATTGGTTCACTGGCTAACATTCTCGTTATGCTCCGATTGAAATCTATTCAAGAAATCTATTCAAAAAATAAGCAGAAGGTTAAGTGTCATGGTTACTTGGTTTGCCTTTGGCATGTATGTAAATACCATAATTACAGGCATATTCGTATGCAGACTAATACGCGCTGCTTAACTGACAGTTGCTTTGAATTATAATTACGGCTTTTACTTGTATTTATATACGGCAACGTAAGAAATTACTTACAACGCGTAATCAAGGACCTTTACTGATTATCCTTATTAAGACTACATTACTATTATTATTAGTAGTATCATTGAAACATATAAAGGCATACAAATTAAGTTGAGCTAACTGGCACAGCTTTATGTCGATGTAATCTATTATTCTCTTAGTATTTTAATTAATATTACCATTTTGGTAAATAAAATGAGGTTTTTAGCCTGACTCTAGTCCCTTCCAACTATTCCTATTTATTAATTTAAGTTGAGTATATATATTATATTATTTGTAAATTACCTAATCAAAGACTTTAAAATCGTTGACTTTAAGTATAATATACTTCGTCAGCTGTATCTTTCCATGCTGCATAATAAACTGAACATAATCACTTAATTATAAATTAGATTTCGTGACACGCAGACACATTATCAATTGATATATTGTTCTCAACACACGCCAACATAAATATACAGAACGCTAAGCGAGAATACAGATTTTCTGTATATCACTCAGCGTATGCCCCTGCCAAGACAACTTATTGGAGTTGAGTTATAGCTAAGTTGCACTTAATTTACAGTAAATGTGCATTAGGCAAGTTGAGCGTGTGTGTGAGAGAGAG